CAACCAAACAAAAAAACCCCCACAACAAAAGAACAAACAAGTAGACACAAAGAACAGAGGATGGAATAGAGTAATTTGTCACCTCTGTGGATCAGCTTAGTGTCCCCCACTGCTGCCATCCTATTAGTGCCCCGTGGGGGAGAAGATGTTAGTGCTCAGGATAGTGGCTGAACAGCACAGCTGTTTGCTCTGCACATTCCCAATAAATAACTGCCAGGTGTTCACAAGTTGTGTGCATTCTGCTTATGCTCAACACAGAGGAAAATGTGCTTGAACACTATAAACTCCTTACATGTGTCACTATCCAAGGTCATGTCCCTTGATGGGAACCTTCTCTCTAAAGTCTGCAGGTAGATTTTAAGAGGTGTAAGGAAAGAAATACACTCCTCAGGGGAAAATAGTAGCAGTTTTTACTCTTAGCTATTATTGCAGCATGGTGAGGAGATGCAAACTGATGTCAGACTGAATCACTCGCAGTCCAAGAAGTCAATAAAAAATATTCAATTTTTTTTCAATTTTGCCACTGGAAAATAGAAAACAATATAAAAATTGAAATATTTGCACATAAAAAGACAATACCAGAGATGCTGCATGCTTAGTGAGGAAAAATTTATGGAAAATTTCAGATCAGCTCTAATTTCAGCTCCAGTTCAAAAATTATTTCTAAAGTGGATCTCTTTTTTTTCTCATAAAAGTAATGAGAAAATTTTCAAGAAATGATGAGAAGGTTATTGAGTATAACAATGTTAGAGCCAAAAGAGAGCACTGGAGCTGCCTACCCTCTCTGCTTGCTCCCTGCTGCCCCACAGTTGGGCAGCAATGGGCAGAGGTATAAAGAGCCTCTCATTTTTTGTATCAATGCAGGCTGGGGGATGAACAGAGAACAGCCCTGCCAAGAAGGACTTGGAGGTGCTGATGGATGAAAAGATAGAGATGACCCAACCATGTGCACTGGGAGCCCAGAAACCCCCCATGTCCTGGGCTGCACCCAAAGTAGTGTGGGCAGCAGGGGTGGGAGGGGATTCTACCCCTCTACTCTGCTCTGCTGAGACCCCACCTGCAGTGCTGCCTCCAGCTCTGGGGTCCTCAGCACAGGAAGGACATGGAGCTGTTGGAGTGAGTCCAGAGGAGGTCACCAAGATGATCAGAGGGATGGAGTACTTCTGCTATGAGGAAAGGCTGAGAGAATTGGGATTGTTCAGCCTGGAGAAGATGGTGTCCTATTTATGGCCTTCCAGTACCTGAAAGCAACCTACAAGAAAGACAAGGACATACTTTTATAAGGGCCTGTAGTGACAGGACAAGAGGAAGTGACTTCCAATGGAGAGTAGGCTTAGATTGGATAACAAGAAGAAACTCTTTAATGTGACAGTGGTGAGACACTGGCACAGGTTGCCCAGGGAAGTTGTGGATGCTCCATCCTTGGAAGCACTTAAGGCCAGATTGTGCAGGGCTTGGAACGTGTTCCTGACCATGGCAGGGGTCTTGGAACTGGGTGATCTTTATGGTCCCTCTCAACCCAGGCCATTCTATTATTCTATGACTCTATGATCCAATTGAATGTACTTATTTTAGCAAGGAAATGTATTTGCTTTGTATACTGGTCTCAAAATGAGTTAACAGTTACAAGAGTTTTGTGTGAATTCTGCACTATTCTGTACAGCTACTGTACGAAACCAAGGGTATGCAGGTAAGATCACCTGCCTAACCCCAAGCCTTTCATCCACAAAGGAATGAGGCTGCAGCAGCTCAGCTTCAGTCCCCATCACCTTCTGACAAGCTCTGCTCTAACACTAGCCTTTCCTGCTGTATTCTGCAATTTCCCTCATGTAAAAGGCCGGTCCGGCAAAATCCTGCTGCAGGCAGAGCCACAACCAGCCTCCACCAGCACTGTGGCATTCTGCCAGAAGGGATTTTTCCTGCCCAGACCTCCTTGACATAAGTGTATGAGGCCACCCTGTGCAAAGTACAAAAAAGACATTTTGGAAAGCTGCAATGAATGGCCACAGCAAGTGAAAAAAAATAGCTTATTGCTGAGACTGGTGTAAGGCATTCTATGAGTCATTACCTCAAAAGGATTTTGTTGGGATTCTGGGAAATGAGGAACTGGGGGCTCATTTGTCAGGCTTTCATAGCTGCAGGTGAAACACTGCCTTCAGTAGGTGGATCCTTGAAAGTCCTAACTGGAGGGTGGCACACTGAAACATAACTTGCTAAACTAGTAGATTAGCCTTTATATTGGCAAAACAGTGCCCCAGGGAAGTCTGAATGTCCTTTCGGTTTCTGTGAATGAATTACATCATTCATGTTAATGGTAAAAATGTTAGTTAAACATTTTACTGAATGTAGCTTTCTGATCCTGTGCTCATGAACAAAACTCACTTGTTATAATGAATATCGAAGATACATCAGTAGCTTTTTTTTCTTCTTTTCTTAAACTGAGGAATAATTTTAAATGCCAAACATTTCCTCATTAAATCTCTTTCATAATCTTAAGGGATTGGGGTGGAGAAGGCAGAATAAAATCTCTTCATTGCAAAACTGTGCTGCAATCTCACATCATTGATACTTACAGTACAGGCTTGGATGATTTGGATGATAATCAATCCACACACAGGACACTAAGTTTTGCTCACAGCACAAACTAGAGAAGGAAAAAAAAGGCTCTTTCTCTGAGAAAGCATGGTATTGATAAAGGAGAATTCCTAGTCCCTGAGCCATGATAGCTCAATTTTAATTGAATTTCTAATTTCAGAATTTCAGAGATTTCTTTCCATACCACTGAGCAAAGGAGAGTGATGGCAGCCCTCATTGCCCTATACATCAACCCTGACCTTCTCCCAGGACATACTCTGCACTTCAGCCCGTTGGGCAATTCTGCAAAAGAAGAGTATGGTCAGGACTGAAGCAACCAAACAAAGTTTGCCAGATGTAGGCTGTCAAAGGCTAAAGCGGAACGAATTTCCATGAGAACTGAAAAAGACATCTTCAGTGCACCAGGTCTTCTGCCTGTCAAGTTTGAAAGTCCTTCTCCAAACACCAGAGGTACTAGAGTGACACTTGCACTTTGGTGGAAGAAGCCCAGTTTCTCTGGCCTGCAAAATGGTTAAACTTTTGGTTTCAAAACATTCAGCCTAAGGCAGAGAACAATCATGGAACGTTGCAGCCCAACCCATTAATGTTTGGCAAAGCCATAACCAGCTTATAACAGAGGCTTGTAATTAGAGAGGGTCGGAACATTCTCAACTAAATGAAATCTCATTGAAATATGCTGTTTCATCCAAGCCAAAAAACATTTCTGTTTCCACAAAGGTTTTTTTTGGGAAAGCTGAGAGAGAAAGCGTGCTCACACACTATATTCTGAAAATTAGGTCACTCGTTTGGGATGTAAGAGAATCAAGTTTAGGTCCTGACTCAGAGAGACCTGCAGTAAAGAACAGTGCTCTTGCACCAGGAAGTACAGAGTTTCCCAAATGCCATAGTAGCTCCCTGGCTAGGTTATCTGAAAAAACTGACATATCATGAGAAACATGCTTTGATTATGATGCTCAAGTGATTTTATATCTTCAAGCACCACACACAAAGTCATATTTTGAAACATTATATTTTGACCTAAAAGGGAGCTGACCTCTTTCAGAATCATTCCTCAAAGGATGAGAAGACATCAACATTGTTAGAAATAATTCTCTTTGCATTTGTATGAACCCCTGTAGGTCAGAAGGCTAACCCTATGCAGGGATAGGTGAAATGCAGCCTAATTCTTTCCTGAAAACCATAGAAGATGCACAACCATGAAGCTACATCTATATTCTATGTTTAAAACTCCCAAAATTACAGTGGAAGTTATGAATCTACTATATACTCCCTATTTTTGTAGGGGAAAGTTGTCAGTGTCAAAAATGGAAATAGTCTCCCAAATCTTACCTTTTAATGGTTTCAGGGATCCTGTGAACAGCAGAACAAACTATTTATTATATCTGAGGTGTACAAGCTTGCCTGTGGTTTATATGCCAACAGTGAAGGAAAAATGGGACCTAGGGTTTTTTTCCTGAAACATTTTATTATTACTGATAAATCATTTCCACCACAACAAGTAAATACTTGTTTAATATTTAAGTTAACCTATCAAAAATAATTGCATAAACTTAAATGATAGGCCATTCCACTTGTCCTCATGGGATGCAAATTAAAATGTTTGAGGTGAAAACCAGAGCAACGTTTAGATTCTATAAAACAAATTATTAATTTAATATTCAGGTTAATAGACTTTCACACTTCCTGCTGACCTCAAAGTACATTTTATTTTGCCTGGTTTTTTAAGCTCATGCACGTTCACAAAATTAAAACTTAGTAAAGGGGAATTCAATTTCCTAAAAGTTCTGTGAAGCAACAAACTTTCCAGAGAGAAAAAAAGAAGTTCGCAAATTTTAACATACTGAACCAGGTTGGTATGGTTTCCCTTCCATTACCAGCTGGCACTTCTCACAACCTGAGGACAATGGACACAAATGAAAGCGTGGTGTCAAGCTAATGACTTTTTGGATTTTGTAATAATTCAACAACCTCCAACTGTACCTTAATGCAGACATCCAAACAAGCATCCCTGTTGTTGGCATTTTTCTGACTTTCACATAATGTTTGTAATGTTGATTATGAATTTTAACACAGATTATTGCAATTCAACAAGGTTATTAATTTTAATATATTAATAAAATAAAAATATAAATGTGAATGCTTATATAGTAACTAGAAGAAATTTAACATTTATATAAGTGCTAAGTATCATACTTATGATTTCCACAATTCATAGAGCTCTCAGATGTTTCTGAACAAAATCTTAATTTACTGATTTAAATTTTCTACCAGACACTTCTAACTTTCTATCAAAAAAGAGGTGAAAATTCCTTTCACATACTGAACACATGTATAAAAGAACATGTGTTATTTATTAACAGGAGCATTTTTTAAAGTCTATCCTGGCTTTTGAAAACAAGATGACCTCATACACAGGAAGGAGGTGTATATGGTAAGTTGCTATTTCAGGCCTGTTTTGAAAATATTTAAAAAGGGGGTTAAAACTATTTTACATGCCAGTTTTAATTAATCTAATTTCCAGAAGAATTTGACCAGTCACAATGCTAAGCATAGTCTTTGAGAAAACACTAAATCCCACTCATTTAAAACTCTTTATGGCATAGTAATGTTTCTAGTTTCAATACTTTATGAACTGCAGAAGTGTCAAAAGCTTTTCATAATTTGCATTGAACATTTTGAAGATCTATCTCAATTCTAATTGTCAAATGTCAATATTGTCGGGACCAAGATCAGGAAAATAACTCTTGCTACCTGATCCTAATCTTCCAGTCTATTCCGCCAAAAGCTAAGAGGAGAATATAAGAGTAATTCACAGTAGTCACAAACACTCAAGGCATTTCATATTCCACTGAAAATTACCTAAAGTAAGATATTTTATCATATTTTCCTGACATTAATGTCCTGCTCAGATCACCATCAGACTATTTCTAACTTGGCTATTTAAATTTTTTCCATTTTATTAGTCACTTCCTTCACCTAAATAGGTGGCAATGTACATGATCTATAGAGTAGCATTATAAGTAAAATCTGAACCCAGTAGAACCTTCCATTCTCCAAAATATTGTGGAAAGCATAAATGGAAGTGCTTGAGCACAGTCACTGGGAGCTAGAGGGAAAAGAAGAAACGTGCAGATAAAATTAAGGGCAAGTAAGAATGGAATGAGAAACACAGAATGGTCCAGAACAACTTCCTCTCCCTCTCTTTATCTTACATTCATCCAGCACACTACCGGTGGAGATGCTGCTGTTGTCTAATTCTATTAAAGTCTCTCAACATTCTTCCCTCTCTGTCCCTCTTCTCTGAAGACTCTTTCTAATTGTTCTTGCTCTATACAGAGGAGGTTTCTAAATACCAGTCTGGCAGCTGAAGGTGGAAGGATTCCTCCTGGAATAACAGATGCACAAACAGCCAGGTAGATATTTATATCCAGAGACAAGCACACTCACATACACCAGTGCCTCTATATGTGCATGTCTGTGTGTGTATGTGTACATATGTGTATATATATTTACCCAGTAAAGAACACAAAGAAGGTCTCCCAATTCAGGATATATCAGAGGCTTTGGGAATTGTCTGGGATTGCAGAAGGTTTCTTAAAACTGTACCTGAGCACTTTTGTCTTAGCATTTACCATGGTATTGCAAGGCTCTTTAGAATTTGTCAGAGTAATGGAAGTTGATCCACAAGTTAAAATAAAAAGCACAAGGACCGTGTACTATGCTATTAAAAACCCAAGCCTAATACTAACTGGTGTAAGTATTCATGCACACATGAATCTGATTTGAACATGAGAAAGAAGAGTGTTTGATAGCACGAAGAGCAGCTGTGTTCATTCAGAGGATAGTTCGTATTTGTTTCTACATATGTTGATGACAATAGATGTCTCCTCCTCTTCATGGCGGAACTCACAAAGGTGTCATGTCAAAAATTGTTAAACACAATCTTACTGAATATCTTTGAAAATGCCCAGAGCTATGAAACAGCCGTTTTTGCTCTTCAGGCCATGAATTTTCAGCGAGCACACTTGACACTTTCCTCCACCTATTTCATGGTAGGCAGGAAACCTTCCAAGGAAAAGAAAGGGTTTTCACAGATGAGCACAGGATCAGACTGGGGTCCATAATTACAATTAAAGTCAGATATTGAAGAAAATACGTGACACAGCAGCTGTTGTTTTACTGCAAATGCCCCAGGCATTTGTCATTGCCTATAAAAAAATCTATAACTAACTACCATCATTACTAGTAAAAGGTTTTATTTTTCTATGATGAGCCAGCATTAAAAAATGCTTATTCTATCCAAATAAAAAATAAATTAACAAAACCCTGAAAATTGATTCCAAGTAAAATGGCAAATGTTTATATCAGCTCTCACTTTTCATTGCAAAAGGGCATAGTCACTACATTTTACACTTCCTCTCAGTTTTCCTTTGCACAGTTAATCACAGAAGCCATTCTGCACTCATCTATGCTCACATTGCCTTTGTTTGACCATATTTTCTTGAAGCACCCTCTAGTACACAAAAGTCACTGGCTTCTAAAGACAGCTGTGCACTGTAGAGAAATTAGGGAATGTTTATCCGACAAGCTAGCCTACTGATGGAATTTCTATGCCTAAAATGTAAAATATTCTTTTAATTTAGTACAGCACGGCTTGCACAGTTGAAGGAAACATTCTCAGATAGATTTAAGACACAGAGGAAGTGTATCTTGGGGAAAGAGTAGAGAAAATACAGAATAATGGTTTCTGTACACTAGTTTTAATTCTAGCAGGCCTGGTAGTGCTAACACGAGATAGCCTGGGCCAGGGTGTAGGTCCGTGTAGGCAGTGGAACTGTCGCACCAGCAAGGGCTCTGCACCCAGTCTCTAGGGGACTCAAAAAAGAACATAAAGACAACACCAGAACACTCTTTTTTTGTTCTTACCTTTTTTGTTTCTTCCTAAAATTAATAGATAAATTTACTATATTCTCACACAGATTTTCGGTAGATTATCTCATTTTAACACCCCTGTCAAACTTTATTATTGCACCATGTCCTTGGCTGGATCTGATTTTCTAAAAAAAATTTTTTTTAGTTGCACAAAGACACAAAAGTTTGACTGTCTATTCATTTACTTTATATACATGTCATAAAGAACTACTTCATTTTCTCACAATAATCAAACAATAAATTTACCACTGAACAATAAAACTACCATTGAATTAATACAGATGTGATAAGATGTACAGATGTAATAAGAGATAAGAACTCAACATATGGTTGTAAATAAGGAGGTGGCCTCCAAACTTTGCTTCCCATTTTACCAAAAAACTAAAGGTAGGTGCATGTTTAAAGACAGATGAATATGTTGTATGAAATACAAGCCATTACATTTCATTATTATAGTTAAGTTTTCTAACAAAATCTGTAATAAGAATAGTAACTGAGGATGAAGATTACAATAGAAGACAAACAGAAGACTTTTGAGCTTCAGTTAGCAGCTCTGTTTTCTTCTTGCCAACTCACTGACTGTTTTCAGGGAAAACTAACTGGCATGGACTAAATGAGACAAAGTAAAAAATAAAAGAGTGAAAAGTAACTTTTAAAAGCATGTTAAATGAGATTTTTTACTGCCATCATAGGTTAAAATGAACAGAAATCAAGTGATGTGGCAACCCCCCATGGCAAAGGGTCAGAATGAGGTGAGCTTTAAGGCCCCTTACAACCCAAACAATTCTAAGATTCTATGACATCTTATTGATGGGAGAGCATAGTTAAGAGATGTTAAACATTTCAAGTCTCTTTCTGGAATTCTTTAGATTTTCCTCTGATTAAACTCAAGTGATTTCTAAATAAAACATTTAAATGAGTTTAAAATCTTTATTACTCAGTATTATGATTCATTTCCATTCAGAATATAGTTGAATTAGTAATATGTTATTAGATCACAAAGATATTATTTCACAGTTCAGAAGTTCTCATCCAAAGATACACAAGTTCTACCAAATAATGAAACAAATAGGACATTTGCAAATAATAAGATATCAAAATATAAACCACCACTGAATGTGTCACGGTAGTGATTGGAGTGTAGGCTGTGCAAAGAAAGGGAATATAAAACACAGAGTGCGGATTAAAACCAAGAGTCTAGTGGAAACATTCACTAAGATATTAATCAGTGTCATGAGAAAATTCCTCTTCTAGCTAGTAACACCGAGATTGAACCCTGCATTATACAAACGTTCTTCTATCTGCAGTCTGCAACTTACTGGAGTTTGGAGCACGTAGGCTGAGTTTCCTGTTGGCATAAGCCCACAGATGGATTTTCTTCACCAATATTGGCTTGCATTTATTGTTTTGGGAGATTCTGCAGAAGATTTCTGAAAAGAACCAACAAATGACCAGTATTTTCATCACACAGGAAATTCCATCATTGAAATACTGTGTCTTGATATCAAATCAGGATGAAAGCTCAAAGTATCCTTTTGGGTATTTTACGCAAGAACACATGCCCAACTCTTTAAAAATGCTATATGTTTGGAGCTCGCTTAGTGAAGGATGATAATAATTTGTGAGAAAATCTCACAGAAGAAAAAAAAAATCATTTTTCATATCCCACATCTCCATTTTCCTTTTTGACTTCCCTGTAAAAGTCTATTTCCCTGAGAAGACCAGCCCAATTTAATACAAGAGAACGTTGACCTGCACCTACCCAAACTACTAGAGGTAGATTTTGGTAGAATGTTTGCTATACTGCGTCATCCTTTATTTTATTGATAACTAAAGAAAACTGATTACAGAATGCATACCAACAGCCACAAGAGAGTTAAATATAGGTCTTTCTAAATACATAAATGACTATTTACTTCTCAGCCTAAATTATGCATTAACTCTGTAACTACCAGTATTGCTTCCGTGGGAGTTAGTGAGATTTATTTTCATTTAAGCAAGGGTTGACCAAAGAATCTATAAAATACTTCATTAGTTATGATTTACAGTTGTACTGTACTTCTAAGATGGACTTTTTCTTTGCACGTCTCACCTGAAATATTCTTTAAAATTGTCTCAACTCTCAGTTTAACTTTTGAATCTGCATGTATCTCACATACAAATCTAAAAATGTAAATAACCTTTTTTTGGATACAGTGTTTTGAATAGTTTGCACTACCAGAATTTCATTATTTAAAGTTATAGGGTTTTGTACTACAAAATTAATTTTGTAGTAAATCAGTTGTGTTAGGCATAGATTTACAGTACTTGATATTTTTCCATTTGTTTGAAAAAGCCTTGTCTCAGAGGAGCATAACTATTTCATATATTAATTTCATTTCTTTCCTTCCTAGCTTTGGCGAGTTTAACAATTCTCTAGATCCTTGTAGAAACTGTTATTTTTAACAGAATATGTATTTTGGGAATAAAAAACATAGCACAAAAAGACCACAAAAATAATCTGATTTCTAGTATTAAAACCCTTCTTACTTAAACCTAATCCCCAATAAGAACCATTAGGATTTTTATAAAAATCCTATTACCATAGAAGGGAATATCCCATTTAACTTTTGTAGGGTCAGATGTATGCTCATTGCATTTGTCTACTTTTCAAAATTAATTAAGGTCTTAAACACTCTTTGTGAAAACACTGAAGGTGAAAGGCAAAGTGAGAAGTTATCCTTACGCACCACTAATCTCTGCTATGATGTGGAGAGGGGTTTGGAGAGAGGTGATGTATTTTGTATTTTTCTAGCTTATTGGCTTTCAGTTTAAAAACATGTTCTTTTGGTCTTAAAATTTTATCCTGACTCATTCTCTAGTAAGTGGTATTAACCATAGAATCATAGAATGGTTTGGGTTGGAAGAGACCTTAGAGGCCACCTTACATGGAAACACCCCTGCCGTGCTCAGAGCTCTATCCAACCTGGCCTTGGATGCTTCCAGGGATCCAGGGGCAGCCACAGCTTCTCTGGGCAACCTGTGCCAGGGCATCACCACCCTCACATTATTTCTTCCTAATATCTAATCTTAACCTACTCTCTTTCAGTTTGAACCTATTCCTCCTTGTCCTATCACTACAGTTCCCGATCAAGAGCTCCTCTCCAGCTTCCCTGTAGGCCCCTTCACAGTCTGGAAGGTGCTAAAGAGAACCTTCTCTTCTCCAGGCTGAACAGCGCTAGCTGTCTCAGCCTGTCTTCACAGCAGAAATGCTCTAGTTTGCTTAGCAACTTCGTTACATTAAAGAGTCATAAGTGTCCCACAGCACAGGACAACATTGTCAGCATGGAGGGACCATTTCTGCCTTGGACAGAGCAGCTGAGCATGAGGAGATATTTTCTAAGATGTCTCCTTCTTGCAATGCTGCTCCAGAGGAAGCTGAAAACCATATGCGTGGCAAGTCAGGAGGCAAACTCCCTGTAAACAATCCCTAGTGTGAACAACCATTTCACTGTGCCCTTTTGAATCATGGACTTCTGTGCATAGGAACTGACTCTTAGCTGATATCCACAAACAGCCAAACACAGAAGGACTCTAATCTTGCTTGGGGTCTCCAGGTAAAGACCTACTGCCAACAATAGCTGATTATTAATCTTTCCTAGCATTATTTTGAATGCTTATGATAATATACAGTTTGGACTTTCCTCTCATATGCTTAAATAATTCAAAACATAAGTGCCTACTCTTGTTTCTTGAAAATGCCATCTGTTCCTCATGAATTCACTAAGTTGCACGTATGACATTTGCTATGCCTGGATCCTTTCCTTTGAAACACGCACTAACTAAACAGGAGCTTTATTCTGAAACTACACAGAAGTTTTGTTCACTAACAGAGTAACAATGACAGGTCTGCATTGGGCAAGATTTGAACTCCGAGTCTGGACAAAATCTCCAGACTAAGGTTTTTAACTGGAAATGTTCATCTAAATAGAAAAAGAGGAGTATGAAGATACTGTCCTGACACATCAGAACCAGTTCATCCAAGAATAAGGTAAAGCTGCTTTCAGTCCTCATTGTCCACAGCATTCTTTATACGTTGCTCCTGTTATCAAGTTTTCTAAGCCAACAACACAAAAGAAAATAAAATATGTAGGCACAAAACACAACTCTTCCTCCTCCCCAAAAACCATGTGCTTTGATCCTGTAACTGAGAAGTCATACGTGGCTTATTCAGAACACAGCAAGGCTGTAATCATAAGCAGAGAGACAAAAGGGCCTACCACCAAGGCAGAAACAAGTTTCTTGCTCTCTTATCATATAGTCCAGGGTGGTCTGCTGTTGTTAGCTTAAGGATCCTTGGAATTCAAAGCCACCCCTGTGGGCAGCAACAACAGTGCCTGCCATGCCCACACTTGCCCTCTGGCCCACATCATCAGGGGTCATGGGCTGCCCCAAGGGTCAATGTCAGGACAGCAGCCCCTGTCTGGCAGAGACATGGTGACATTGTTGATGCTGCAAGGGGCTGAGGGGTTTGGGGAAACACATCCTTCCACCTACAGCTGGAAGGAGCTTTTTCTGTCACAGTAGCATGGGGCTGCAGCAAATGTGTGCAAAAGTGCACAACTTTTGGGACAGCACAGAAACTTATTTAGAGTAAGGTTTTCTGCAAAATTATTAGGATCATTCCCTGCTAGGAACTGACATTCCTGAGAAGACTTTGATCCTCTTGCATTGAAACACAAAGAAGGATCCAATTTAGTCAAAAGAAGTTTAAATGATCCCTGTTTCAGAAGAGGTGTCAATTTGCAAAGGCAAGCACTTCATCAGGAGTCTAAATCAAAAAGCCTCTTCTAAGTTTTGCAAAGGAAAACAGGTCCAGCTGATTGAATGAAGCTCTTCTTTCCTTTTTCTCTTCTCCATTTCTAACTCAGTACTCTGAAGGCTTCCCTGGTTGAACGCTAGCCTGGTGTCCCTGCCATCACTCCTACCAGTGTTGCCAAAGGAGAGAACTTCTGTGTTTGATACCTGCACTAGAAATCTGCAATTTATTTTTCTCTTGTGCCCACATAACGGTTTTCATTGAAAAAAAAAGCAATAGACTATTTGAAGATAATTTTGTTAATTCATATTTCACCACAAGACACTAGCATAAACATACTGATTATAAAAACATTTTTCTTTTCTTTCTTATACGTTTCTGCTGGCTGTACCTGGCTGTCTCGTGGCCTACTCCCTAATTCTGTGTACCAGCAAGTGCTTCTACACTACTCTTCTGTCAACACTGTATGCTTCTCACACTGACTCCTTTCCACGAGAAACTTGAAAAATTAGTCAGAAAACAAAAAATAAACATCATCATTTATATTCTTCATGTTCTTTCAGTAAGCATAGCCAAGTAACCAAGTCTCTTCTCTTATTCCGCCCTTTCCCTCTTTTGATTTCCTTTGTAGACTTCAGTGCAGGGTTGCTGGGATTAGGTTTATAGGAGGAAAAAATCTACATTTTCCCCATTTAACAATTTTATTTGTGCATATTAGTGAAGACGACATATGGTGTATGAAGGACTTAGTCATATTTTTGGGAAGATAATTACAGAGCCTCAGAGCACAAAAGTAGAGCAGTAGCCCAGTCAGAGCTAGTGAGATGATTTGATGTATATTAAGCTAAAACTCCTTTAAAAAAAAGTTCAGTCTTTTCATGACACTTTAAAAAAATGTGTACACTCCATGCTGGGATTCATTTAAAAATCAGCAAACACATAAAAGACTGAGAATATTCAGAAGTGTGTATCATCAAAAGAAAGAAAGGAAGGAGGGAACGGAATGTACTGATGTGAGAAGATAACTTTTCATAGGAATTCTAATTGTCTTTCAAATCCTACTGCTTTTTGCACATATGAACTTTAACATAAACAATAATAGCAGTTCACTTTTATATACTACATGAGGCAATGGAGCTACTGTCTCCATTTGAAAGCATTTGAAAGATACTCTTTCTACTTTCTAAGGGAAAATCAAGTCTTGGTATTTAAAGACCAAGGAGTGTCAGGAGGAACCATGAATATTTAGAAGATAATACCCAACCACATTGTTATTCCCTGCAGAAGTAGTGATTTCCAGATGGCATATCCCTCATTCATCCACACTGCCTTTGTTATTGAGCAATGTGAATTAAAATAAATTTAAAATAATGCTGCAGGAGGTTTGTCATTGACCACTGCTCATTTCCCATGCAAGTATTTTATTCTTGTCATCTTTAATGGGGCCAAAATGTACATAAAAAGCAGACAACTATTTCTAATTCCGTGGCTTCAATATTAATGAACTGAACTGGAAAGATGATTTTAATCAAAAGTTTGACATAAATTACATTACCCCATAATAAGACAGTAAGAGGTAAGTCTACATATATTTGACACTTGATGTTTTTACCAAAAAAATGGAAAAAAAAACCATTATGATTACATGAGTGTATGGCTTAAATATACCAGAGTTATAAAAAACTACAAAAATAGACTTCTCTGTCTTGCATTCATAGGAGACCTACACAGGGATGTAGGTCATGGTACTGCCTAGATCTTCTCTCTCTTCCACAAACTGACAATATATGGACCTTTAGCTACAGCTGGCTAACACAGGTCCATGTTTTCTTTTTTTTTTTCTTTTTTCTTTTTTTTTTTTCAGGGAAGGAGAGACACAAGTGCATCTTACAAAAAATCTCTACCAACACCAGTTGAGTAGATCTCACCAGGCTTCTCTCTTCTCATTCTCACTTCCTCGATAGTCTCCTCCATCTACAAACAATTTTATATAACTTACAGTTTTTGTTACCATGCTTCTCTGGGTTGGTTCATACTGAAAACAGCTTTCATGAACCACCCATTATTATCTCATCTGGGCACACTGATTTGTTTTTGGAGTCCAACAGGACAGAAATGCCTAAGAGTTATTAGCTACTGTTTCCAGGGCAGATAAAAACTGTAATTTTGTCTGCAGACACTTGGCAACTTAGCATTGTCAAAACTGCAACCAGCTTTTGATTTTAAAACCCACATTTTAATGAATCTATTGCAATCTCTGTTTTCCTCTACATTTATTTAAAAACCAATTTTCCACCATTCATTCTTCACTTGGCACTCCCTCTTCCCAATGCCTGGCACAGAGAACTCTGGTCTTCTCATATAACTTCATACCATGGGGGCACTCCCAGCTTTATGTTTAATAGATTTATCTCTTCATTTTGTTTGCTTTTATATTGTAGAAAGGAATGAGTATTGATGAAAAGAGGCAATATCCTAAACAATTTTGCAATTCACTCAAAATCTTTATGTTGCTGAAATAGTAGGAAAAATTCCTCTGTATAAATTTCAGTGGAATTAGCAGCAAACCTGAAAATAAAAGCAGAGCTTCAAGAAACAGCTGAGCTGTAACAGCAGAGTTGCTCCATCATTTAGTTATCCAAGTCAGGAACTTTTATGACATGAAAAACTATATAGTCTTATTCTGGCATCTAAATCAGTTGGGTGGTGTAATGGCATGCCTAGTCATTTCAGCCTCACTAATTAAATGATATCTAGTAGTTAACTGCTTGTCCTTGACTGTTTGATATTTTGGATAATATTCATCTGGGATGCCTCAAATGCAACTACTTTTATTTACTTTCCTCCCTGGTACCTCGTGGTTTTGGAGAGGGTGTAACTCCATCTTGTCTCTTTCAGTGAGGAGGAAGAATTTTATTTTATAAAATGTCATTTGTATTAAGCATCCTGCATCATAGATGTATGTGGCTTTTGTAGTGTCAGAAAATAGCTATTGCTTGCCCCTTTAATTGCAGTCATAAATTTGTTCCAAATTTCCAGCAGCTGATCTGATCTTCCTTTTTTGTAGCTAAGAAGAACACAAATGAGAATAAACTTTACCACACTGAAAAATGTATATGGAGAGCAGCAGATAAATGTAAGTTTGTTTTTTGTGAGATGTCTGTTTTTGTTAAAATCACCAAGTGTATGTATGGTCAAACCCCAAATTTATACACGTAAATTTAAAAAATCTTTTGGAGTATGTGAAATACGTGAGCTAAACATTTTTGACAAAATTATCTAGCAAGCAATGACCTAGGTGCTAAAGGATGTAATCTCTCCAAGAGAAAGACGAGAGGAGTTGAATCAAAGCAGCAATTTGAAATACTGGTCAGGGCTAAGTTTGACCATCGCCACTGTTAGTTCCAGCAGATCTGCTGAATGGTGCAGCAGCTAAAAAGTTTGTTTGTGTGACTGTTATACAGTGTCTAAGACTTATCAGAGAGACACAATCCATCTTCTGCACTCCAGTTATAATTATTTCCTGCCCTCAGGCTTTCAACACAAGCAATTAATTCCAGTATAAGTTTCTTCTGGTCTGACTGTTAGTTGAATTTCGTTTATTTCAGACATGACGTCTACTGCCTGAGAGCATAGCACAGATTCATTAATTTTTATCACTACCTTTGATTCTTTTCAGGGAAATATTTGTTGTGAGATAAGCCACATTGTTTTCCCTGTCTGTTTCAGAAGGCCACTGTGCTTTGTTCCTTTGAGTATCTTTGTTCTATTAGTATGACTATCCTTCCCAAAATAAGTTCTCCTACAGAATTTTTGCTAAAACCATAGCACCCTTGTCCCAGCAAAAGCTAAAGCTGGCCACATGCACTGAGATTGGGTTTATATCTGCTCAGAGAGGAACTCCCTACTTCATCATTACCACCAAGTCCAAGGGAGCTCAAGAGTGTGATTCCCCAGTAATACTTTATAAAAGACTGTGTAGACTTAGTATTATACTTATTATTGCCCTGCAAGTTGCAATTTGAAGATGCAGAAATAAGAAAACGTATTTCCAGGAATTCTTCTTATAGGTATACATGTTCTACATCACCTCAGATGAACCAGTGAAAGAGGTGACAAGTAAGATGGTGCATTGTTTAGAAAACAGAAACATTTGGCATGAGCATATGCATATCCTTTTGGAATTTCAAAGTATTTGATCCAGGTACCTTGAAACCAATAAATATATATTGAGGAGACAGGTGAGGTGAGCTTGGTCATTAATTTTTTGAGGGTCTCACTGATGGTGGGCCATAAGTTTCTTCCTGGCTCTGAACTTTATATGAGCATTTCAGCTCATAAAACATCAGCAGCAATATAGCAATACTACTGCTGCTTCCCAGTGTCTGGATGCAGAGTCCTTCAGACACTCTCCACCCACTCAGCCTACTGGTAGCCAGCATTTGGCCCTCCAAATAATAAAGGCTGCTCTTTGAACAGAGATTTCCATGTCTGGCAGGGGACTGAGACAGGTCCTTTTTTTGTCTTGTTTCTCATCGAGATATACAAGGAACAGAATGTGATTCTGGAGTTGTCATTTAGCCTTAAAATATGTCTCAAATAGTAGAAAACACTGAAGCAGCAGCTTCCCATTCATCATTTGCTACTCAGACTGAATCCTTGCTGGCTGCCTCAGAGCCCCATGATACACAGAGATTCCTACTGAAATGGAAACCTCTGATGACGTGAAAAGCTTGTTGACACTTGAGAGTGGGTGTGATAGGCACCTGGGCCCTCACTGGAGTGCTTTGGAAATGCCTTTAATATGTCAATGCTGGCAAAGCCCTTTTGAAATGTCACTGTTTCACTAACTCCGGGACCATTTAAATTTACTTGCAATACGTTTGACATGCTATGTCAAAGTACCACAGAACAGAAAACTTTCAGACATCTGGAAGGCTGCATTTCTCCTGCTCACACTTTCCACTGGGATAACCTAACCCAGGGAAATCTGCCTTTTGGGTTTATTTGCAAAGAAAATAAACTTAAGGCTTTTCTCACTACTTGATGACACCTAAAACCTTTCTTATTTTATCACAATCTGTTTGTGGAGCTTTCACAGGGAAGCAGGTATGTCTGCTTTAGAAAATGTTAAATCAACATCACCACATAGAAGTATTCTC